GAGGAAGAGGAGGAGGAGGAGGAGGAGGAGGAGCATGCCCTGGAGCTGGCGGCGGTGTGGCTCCTGCCCCCGCCCCCGCCGGCCCCGCCCTCCTCCTCGCCCTCGGTCTCTGAGGAGCTGCTGCTGCTGCTGCTGCTGCTGCTGCTGCCACTGTCACTGCCGCTGCCGCTGCCGCTGCTGCTGCCGCTCTCCGACTCCTCGGCCCCGTCCTGCTCGCTCTGGCCCTTGTCCGGGCTCTTGGGGTGGCCCGAGTCCTCGAACGCGAGCCCATCCCCAGACTCCTGGGCCAGCTCACCGTCTCCGGCCTTGGGCCGAGCGGCCTTGGGCTCGCTGCCCCCCGCCGCTGGGGCATAGCCGCCCAGGCTCAGGAGGTTCTGGGGCTCCGGCCAGCCCCCGGCCCCCGGGTCCTCCCGCAGCAGCAGGGCCTCTTTGGCCTTCTTGCTTTTGGGAGATGTGACACCCTCGTGGTCCAGCTTGACGAGCAGCTCGGCCTGCTCCCCGGGCCTTCGCGCACCCTTGCCGGCCGGCTCCTCGGCAGCCCGGGCTTTCTTGGGCTTGGGACGGGTGGCAGGCATGGTGATGGGCATGGTGACGAGGGGTGCGGGGGCCGGGGCCGGGGCCGGCAGCTCCCCAAAGGGCTCAGGAGCTGGGCAGGAGGCGAAGGCGGATGGCGCTGGGCTGGGCTGTGGGGGCACTGGGCGAGGCTTGGGGGCTTTGGCCCGCTTGTCCACGGGTTCTGGGGAGCTCTTCTTAGCAGCTGGGGTGCTGATCGGCTCCAGGGCCAACGGGGCACTGGCGACCTCGTCCGTTGAGGCCCCCTCCTCCAGGACGGCAGCTCTGTCTAAAGGGGAGGAAGAAGCGGCATGGGTGGGGGAGGGTCAGGGCTGCATGAGCCGGAGCGCCGTCCCCACCCCGCGCAGCCAGCCAGGGCAGGCACCCTTTCTGGGTCTCGGTCTCACACGTGTAGACCCCAGAGTGGTCCCTAGTAGCCTGGGCTCTTAGCCCGAAGCACTTTTAGCTGGATTCTGGAGCAAACACACCCTGGTCGAGTCACAGCTCTGCCTCTGACAGATCTGCCCCGAGCCTCGGTTTCCTCATCGTCAAATGACCACAACAGCCACAGACCCCACCGAGACGGGGAGTGGTCTCTGTGCAGAGACCCGCACGCGCACCAGGTCCCAGCTGTGCCGCCCCTGCCACCAGCCTCGGCTGGGCCCAGGCCCACGTACCGCCCTTGGCTTTGGTGCTGGGTTTCCGCCCTCGCCCCCGAGCCTTGGCACCGGGCTCCTCGGACCCCGGCGCGCCCCCATCTTTGCTGTCCCCAGTGTCTTTGCTGGTTTTCCGGCTACGACGCTTGGCGCTTGGCACCAGGAGGGCCGGGGACGGCTCGGCACCTGCAGGCAGAGAACACACCACGGTCAGGCCTGGGCCTCCACAGTGTCGTGTCGTGGGGGCAGGGATGGGACAGAGCCGGTGACACTGCGTAGCTGCCCCTACTCGGCCCTATCTGCGGGGACAAAGCTCGGTGTCTGCACATACGAGCAGCTCGACGCGGGCTCCTCCGACGACAAGGTGGGCGGGGCTGAGCAAAGATGCTGACTTCTGTGCTTCTGCCAGTCCTCTGGGAGTCGGGCAGCCCTGGGTCCGAGCCCTGCTCTGCCCCCACCCAGTCGGAGGACCTAGACACAGCATCCACTCTTCAGAACCTGAGCTCATATGGGCTGGTCAAAGGGGATGGCATTTCCAGACACGCGAGAACACAACGCTGCCAACAAGTATAGCCAGCCTCCTGCAACCTGAACCTCGGGTCACAGAAGCTGGGGTACCCTGTGGTCCCCTCTTCTGAGCCTGTTCTGGGAGCCCCGCCCACAGTTCCTGCCATTTCCATCCCCTGTGGGTGCAAATGGTGCAAATGGTTCAGACAGAGCCCTGAACTGGGGTCGGAGGGGAGCAGGGCACGAGCCTGTGGGTCGGCCCAGCTAGGGGGTAGGTCCCCCTGAATCTTATACGCACACTGAATCTTGTAGTCGGGAGGCAGGAGGCGGATGTGAGAGAGGGGGATCCTCCCTGTGTCCCCATCGTCGAACTCCACGGTGATGAGATCCCCGTCATCCTCGAGGCCCAGCAAGCCTGTAAGAGGAGGGGCAGGCTCAGGGGAGGCACGAGGGTGGGCACCCGCCCTCCGGGGTGCAGGCCTCAGAGCCACGCAGTCCCGCGGGAGCACGGACTCTCCCATGCCGGCTGGATGTGTCCTGACTTCCCGAGACGTGAGCCTATGCTCGCTCACTCCCAAGACCCCCTCCAAAGGAACGGAGAAAAACAGCAGGGGCGGGACCGTAAAGGAAGAGGGAGCGGCAAGGGGACGGCAGCAGGTGACGGTGCCACCATTCCGGATGACGACATCTGCGTGGACGAGCAGGAGCGGACTGGTCTCAGCTCTCTGCTCTGTCAGGGGCCTGGAAGGAGGTGATGCCACTGAGGAGGCCACTTTTCACAAGGCAACCCACAAAGGCTCAGGCCCTAGAGGTGCCAAGCACCTCTGGAAGCAGAACGCAGGGGACTCCGGCACTGGCCAAGCTGAGGGTCTCAAGGCAACAAGCTAGAGGTCTACGCCTGGGGAGAGACTCTGAAGGACACTGGGCACAGCGCAGGAGAGCAGGTGGGCACCACGTCAACCACGGTGACAGGGAAGTCTGCACACTCAATGGTAAGCCCCGGCCCCATCCCTGTGCCAGATGCTAAGCTCAGGCCCCCTAGGACAAAGGTCTCAGGCTGTCTGACCGGCTGTTGGGAGAAGAGCCACAGGTGCTGGTTCCTGGGGTCCCCAGAAAATCAGTCCTGCCTGCCACTGACACGAGGCCTACCCCACACACAGAGCTTCCAATCCATCAGTGTAAGACAGACGGAGAACAGGGAAGCGGGGAGCATGAAGAATGCAGAACCCACAGAGGGAGAAGGCGGGGGGCACGGAAGAAAAGGGAGCTTCAGAAATCTAAAAGAACATCAAGTTATCCCTGGAGCAACCAGAAAACAATCACGATCCACGAAACAAGAGCTATTTAAAAAAAAAAAAGAAAGAAAGAATAAGAAAGAACTCTCAGAAATGTTTTAAACGAAAGCAAAAACTCAACAGACTAGAATGGCCAGGAGGTAAAGTTGAAGAAGCCTCAATAAATAAAATAAAAATAACAGCAAAAAGACACAAGCATCGAGGCCCAGCAGATGGGTGTGATTCCAGGGAAAAGTGAGTAAATGAGGAAGAAAATCTCAAAGACGCAATTCAAGAAAAGTTTCCAGGAACAGAGGACACCTGCTTCAAAATCAAAGTCCCCTCTCCCACAGACCCAGGAGACCTGAACCAACACGACCCCTCACCACAGTGAGAGGACTTCCTGCCCAGGCCCCGTTCCCATCTTCCGGGAACGTCTGGACGTCAGGCGGCCAGGGGGTGGTATCTGTCCTTTTTTCCCTTCACTTTTTGTTTTGATGGAACCAACGCCCACAGCCCCATCTCCTGGCTATGCTGGATTTGCAGAAGGTTGGGGTGCACTCTCTGGGCACCTGTTATTTTTGTCTGCCCAGCCTTCAATCTCTTATTCTACTAACACCGTCCCACTTTCCCGGGGAAGCCGCCTTCCCCCCTCTCTCTGGTCTCGTGTAAAATTAGGAAGCCAACCTCGCCGATCAGTTTCAGGGATGAGCACATGACCCAAGCCAATTCAGTAGGACTCCATCCTAGGACTTATAGAGGAAAAGTGAGATGTTCTCTGCTGACAGGCTTTAGGATGGTGGCATACGGTCTCCAAAGAACAGGGTGTGAAGCCAGCACAGCGGAGAGCACTGCAGACAGACCCTGAGAGCCTAAGTCCCGATGACACCACGTGAACAGTACCTGGGTCCAACCACCCGAGCCCGTACACGCTGTCAGTTATACAAGCCGATAAAACCCTTTACGCTTGAGCCAGTTAGAGTGGGGTTTCAGGGATCAAAGGACTCCATGCTGACACGTCAGAAAGTGGCGGGGAGGGGTGCCGGGAGGGTGCGGGGGAGGGGAGCGTCCCACCTCGGACCACGGTGCCCGGGTAGAGGCACCGGTACTGCTGACTCCAGTAGGCCGCGATCCTGGTCCCTTGCGGTAAGAAGCGCGTGGAGGCCGGCCTCACGTCGATGATCTGGGAAGGCGACGGCCTGAGCACCCGGTGGTGACCGGGACAGCCCGGCCCCCCGCCCTCTGCCTCCCCTCCCCCTCACCGCCTCCTGCAGCAGCTGTTCCAGGCAGTAGATGTGGGGCCGGTTCCCACGCTCGCCCTCCACCACCACTCGGTATCTGCAAGGCCGGGCGAGAGCGGTGTGAGGCGGCAGAGGCCGAGCCTCCGCGCGGGTGGGGACTGGGTGAGGCTTCAGGCCCCGAGTCCCGCGCTCTCCCCACCCAGCCCCACTCACATGTCGGGCGAGTGCACCGTCTGCACGTGCCCGGCGTACAGCAGCTTGTCATCCAGGGGGATGAGCACGCGCAGCCCGTCTTTGAGCTCGTCCTTGTCGATGATGCAGGAGCGAGGGGCTGTAGGCCAGGAAGGGAAGCAGGGGCTGGAGGCAGGGCTGGAGACCCTCCCCCGCCCCCCAGGCCTGCCTGGCCACCCTCTAGAGCCACCCCTGGGAGAACGGGTGCCTGAGGCAGCCTGTGGGGCACATGTGCACCAGTGTGCACACATGGGGGTCCACGTCTGGAAAGACCCCAGGCAGGTGTGAACTGGGTGGCAGCCTGCACGTGCTGCCCCTCCCCCACCCCGAGCCCAGGCATGAGGCTTGGGTCATCAGGGCCCACTGCTGTACCCTCAGCCACACCTCCAGGACTTGCCATCTGGGATGCTGTTTGTCCTGGCGGAAACCAAACTTCACAGCCAGACTCCCCACCAAAAGGCCTTAAGAGGCCTCGCTGGTCCCCAATCTGCCTTTGGAGCCTCTGTCAACGTGGCCACAAGCACATCCCTGGCTAGCCCACTGGTCCAGGGGATGGAGACCATGGAGCAGAGCGGTCCATGCATCGGTGGCCCCCGGCCACCCCATTAGCATGGGAACAAGCCCGGCGAGGTCTGCCCTGTAGACGTGGCCACCCACCAGCCTGCACCCCTCCCCCCGCATCCACTCACATTGCCCGCAGCACAGCCCCCCAGCTCTCCCTCCTGAGGCACTCAACCCACCCCTGCTGCCCCCACCATCCCGCCCCTGCCGACGGCCTCCCACCTGGACTCCCTGCCTTCTTGGGCCCCTCCGATTCATTCTCTGGCAGCGGTCAGAGAGCTCACTTCGAAGCCAGTGCGACCACAGCTTCTCGTGCCAAACTCCTCACCAAGGCCCAAGAGAGTCTGCGTGACCCTGCTCGGACCGCTCCCCGGCCGGAGCCCAAAGGGCCGTGTCAGTGCACTCGGGGACTACGCCCCCTCCCGGGGCCCATCTCAGGCCGTGCGTGCCCCTTGCCCCGCCCTGGGCCGGCACCCATGCAGCACCAAGGGCACTCACCGGGAGTGAGCGGTCGCTCCGCAGCCCCGCCCCGCGGCAGGTGCTCGTCCTCGGAGAAGCTGGAATCCTGGTTGGGCTCGAAGTCCTCCTCGGCGGCCATGCTCTCCATCAGCTTGCTCACTGCGCCCCCTTTGCCCCGGTTCTGGGGACAGAGCGCAGCAGACCAACAGCTTAGCACACAGCGCCTGTCCTGCCCGGCTGGGGACCCTCCCTGGAAACCCGGGCTCAGTGAGGCTGCGGTGCTATCGGCCACGTGTGCAGTGGGGGTCCCAGCGGGAGGACAGAATGGGCCCCTCACCCTGCCTGTGCTCAGTGGTGTTCATCACCATGACAGGTGCCTCGGGTCCCTTGGAGAAACCGAGGCAGCGTCTCCAGCTACACGCAGTGGGGTGAGGAAGAACAGCCTGGCCAGGGGCCAGCAGCGTGTGGAAAGGGGGACACGCCCGGGCAGGACCCATCTGCCAACTGAACGAAGAATCCCGCCCTGGGCTGGGGGACCCTGCAGGGACCCTGCGGGGACCCAGCCGTCTGGGGGCGGTGAGCCTCACCTCCTTCTTCACCTCCTTCCCTCTGGCCTTGGCCTTGCTCCTCTTGGCGGAGGCCGGGGAGCCGGCGTGAGGGGCCCGGGCCTCAGGGGGCAGGGTGGGCGCGCGGGGTGGAGGCGGCGCCCCCGACGCCCCCTCCTTCCCCTTCTTCTTCTGGGGAGGAAGCAAGAGAGGCAGCATGAGAGGCAGGGAGGCCCAGGCCTTCGGTCCCCCCACCCCCCTCCCCACACAAGGGTTTTTAGTTTCAGTCTCGTTTTGTCACCACTGTAGAGTACCTGTTAAAATAAGGCAGAAAGACCACACGAGGCGTTTGTAAAGCACGCCTGTGCACGCGAGCCCCTCCCCTCCCCGACGACCCTACCGACGACGGAGGATACTAGAGCCAGGAGTAGCAGCCCACCGTGCCCTTCCGAAACCTTCCGCAAGCACGTCCGCTCACGTGAGCAACGCGAGCCCCTAGACACATTTGTGCACACACATTTGTGCACACACAGTGTATTTTCAAACACGGTATTTTCTTTTTAAACACACATGGGAATTTACCAAAAGTCCCACTTTCCAAACCCCCCTCCCCCACTATGTCTGATACACATAATGGAAGCTTTTTTTTTTTTTTTTTTAATCTTGAACAGCTGCCCCATGTGTCATGGTGTGGGGGCCACAATTCATTCAACCACACCCTAAGGATGCCTCTGTTTTTTTTTTTTGCTCTTCCAAATGATGCCACAAGAAAAGACGGTTCCGGTGAGTCCTACAGGCTGCTTCCAGGAGGGGCATGAAGACTGTTTAGCGGCTGCCACATGCATGCCGGTTCGAAGCCCCCCGGCGAGGCGAAGCGGGGTCGCCCCCTCGCCGGTGGGGTGGAAACTGGTCGGCGTGCACGGGGACCGCATACGGCCCCACTATCAGAGCACAGGGCTGGAAACGACCTAGCTGTCCAGCAACCGGCAGCGGAAATGCTGGCGCATCAAGAGAAACAGTTCCAGCTTCCCTTACAGCGGCACAGAGTCCTATTCCGAGGAAGAGGCTCTGTCATGGGAAAACGGAAATGATGACAGTTTGTGTGAAAGGCAGATTCAAGCTGTGGTCAGCAGGATCCAGAGTGGGCGGTGGGCGGTGGCCGCGAAGGAGGGGTCACGTTCTGCTTTTAAAAGAGATATACCTACCACGAAACCCCCAAGCCGAGAGACCAGAGCCAGGTGGAGAGCAAAGGACAGAAAAAGATAACGCCGGGCAAACGTTACCATGACAACAGCGGGAGTCACGGCTTCCGTGTCGGATGAGTGAAATGCAAAGCAAACAGCATTCAGAGGGACAAAATGGAAAATGTTACAGGGATAAAAGGTATTCAGTTTAATCCCCATTCTGGGGGGAAAATATATATGTGTGCATACATGTACGCATTGTATTTTCCTGTGTCTGATGCACGTTTTAACCCCGTTCACATTTCTGAAATCAGAAGGCATCTTGGCGGTTGAAGAAATGTTTTTAACATGGTTGCGTTTCCTTTTATCACTAGCGTCTGTTATTAAACAGTTCGTTTTTTGCAGCTGTATGCAGAAGGCAGGAGGATGCCAGCAAAAAAAACGTTATCTCTAAGCGGATTTTCATTACCTTCTAAATTACTCTTCTAATCAGGTAAAAATGGCAACTGTTTCTTTCCCATTGACCAGAAAGCCCGTTCTGGGAGCCTTATTATTTTTTAAAATAAGAACTTTGAACATGACCAACTCTGCACAGAGAGCAGAGATGTTCATTGCTGTGCTGATTACGATGGCAAAATACCATCATCCACCAAATCGCGGCAGCCGGCACGGCCGACGGCAGGAGGTAACGAAAACCATGGGCTGGCCAGATGGTGGGATGCTGTTCAGCACTTACAAATATTGATTTAAAAAAAAGTAAAATAAAAGCTCGGCATATGGAAATGCACGAGCTACACTGCCGAGTCTGGAAAACAGGACGAGAGGTGTATCTCAAAAAATACGAGCAGCGTTCCTGGCGTGATGGGGTATAACGTCTAACTTCTCCCGTCGATGATCAACCTGTTCTGCTCTAGCCTCTTCCTGGATCCTCAGAAGGCTGACTGGGTGAGCCTCTGGACCTCTAGTCCCAACAGAGAGGCCGTCAAGGAAGAAGCCCAAAGAGGCCGGGGCTCTGGTGCTGGGCCCCAGTGTTCAAAGCTCAGCCCTGACGACCATCAGCTGCTGCGACCCTGGGCAGGGTTTCAGAGCCACCTGTAAAGTGCACTTCCTTTGAGTAACCTGCCTCACACGCTTTCGTGAGGGCTCGACTGTGACATGAGATATCTACCTTTGACCTCTGCCCTGACAGCTGACACTGAGCTCCCAAATTCCGTGGGATTCCCTGGGTCTTGGGAGCATCTTTCTTTCTGAGGAGGAGACCCTTGGTCCCTCGGTCTCTCGGGGAGAGGAGAGGAGCTAGAGACTGCGTTAATAATCGATCGTGTCCCTGTGATGAAGCGCCCATAAGAACCCCAGAACGACGGAGTTTGGAGAGCTTCCGGTTGGTGGACACGGGGATGAGCCGGGAGGGTGGTGGCCTGGGGAGGGCGTGGCAGCTCTAGCTCCTCCCCGAGACGCTGTCCCATGCGTCTCTTCTTGAGTTGTGTCCTTTATAATAAACCTAAGTGCAGTGATAGCCTGACCCGAGTTCTGTGTCGTTTTAGTGAATCACTGAACCTGAGGTCAGAGAAATTCCCGATTTACAGTCGGCTGGCCAAAGTCCAGCTGGCCTGGACTTGTGACTGGCATCTGAAGCAGGGCGTAGCCTTACAGGACAGAGCCTTTTGCCTATGGGGTCAGCGCCAGCTCGGGGTGGTCTCAGAGGTGTTGTGGGAGGAGGAAACAAGCTGTCCTTTATCAATAAATTAAGTGGATGTGGTAAAGTGATCAGAACGTGCCTGGGGCCCACCATGGGCCACCTGACATGATTATTGTCATCACTATTATTTATCATTCCAGCACCTTCCCTTCATGGCCCGCAAATGCCTTCAGCGGTGGCTTTACCCATGGGGAAACGAGGGGTGAGCACAAAGTAAGGTGCCTGTGGATGACACTCAGATGTAGTCCCTTCCTCACTACCACCCATTACCAGGAAATCAATGCCACGTCTCAGCGCTTTTTATGACTTTCTCCAGACTGTCACTGTCATCGGAGGTTTGATCCTCCATCAGGAACTGGGGTGGAGAGGCCTGAGGCAGAAGATGCTGCCTAGAGCTGCCTGTTAGCTTTAAATGCAGCCACCTAAAGGGGGAGCAACTGGCCGTGAGCTTCCTAGCAACCACTGCAAAAAGGGTTATCAGGCTAATCATTACAGAGTTCTTAAGAAAGGTTCTCAACCTGGGGTGTCCACTGGAGAATTCGGGGAATCTGTGAACTTGGATGGGAAAAAACAAAAAACCCATCTCTGTTTTCACCAACCTCGGAAGAAAGGATCTTCCTCCAGGTGTGAGTGGAGGCCACAAATCACAACAGGACCAGGAGTGCCTGTGACTCTGTCACCAGCAGAAATCACTGTCATGGAGCGCATGACAGTTCCTGAGAAGACCTTGAAACATCACTCACGCTCATCACTTCAAAATGATGGCGCTCGCCAGGCAGCCGCGGGCCCCCTGTCAGAGGCCCCCCTGAGAGACACTCAGACTGCAGCGTTCCCGCGTCCGGCAGCCGCATTCCCCCGGGGTCCTAGCGAGTCCCTTGCGTTTACAGTGCTGTTCTGAGGCCGGGGGCAGAAGAGCCTCCAAGGGAGGGGAACCTGGCTCTTCCCGACACCAGGTCCGAGCACGCCTCCCGTCAGGACCGACCCCCTGACGCTGCAGTGGATACTGGAGCCACCTTGCCAGGCTGGAGGCGGGGCCTGGTGTCCGGGGTCCCTTCCCGTGGCCCCCTGGTGCCGAGCCCCTACCTTCCTGGGGTCCTTCCTGTCCTTGGCACGGCCGGCGTCCTTGCGCGGGCTCAGAGGGCCACCCTTGCCGCAGCGGCTGGGCTTGGTGACGGCGGGCGCGGCGCTGCTGGGAGCGGGGGCTGCGGCCGAGGCGTCGTGCAGGAAGATGCGCTCGCTGCGCCTCCGTGCCCACAGGTCGTCGTCGCTGGCCTCCGGCCCCGCCTCGAAGCCCGCCTCCTTGGGGCCCCGCAGCTTGCGGGCCTTGCGCCCCTTCTCTGCCGCCAGCTTGGCCTTGTCGGGGCTGGCAGGGCCGGGGCCCCGGGGGCCGGGCATGGGAGCAGCCAGGGAGGGGCCTGGCTCCCCCAGTCCTTTCTTGGGCCGCAGCAGCCCGGCAGGCGACCGCTTCCGCACCTTGACCTCACCCTCCGAGTCGGTGTAGTCGAACTCCGTGCCTGGATGTGGAACGAGGGAGGGGGCTGTGCACAGGGGCTCGTGGGGCCCCCGCTTCCCACCCACCCGGCCGCTCTGGCCACCGTCCCATCCCTCCTCCAAGGGACCTCGCTGCCCGTGGGAGCCTTGTCCCGGTTTCCAGGGGAAGAACCCGAGGCCCAGAGGAGGACTCGCTCAGCCTCCTGCCTGTGAGTGGCAGGTCCTGCCAGCCCCTCTCTTGTTCCCAAACCGCTCTGGCTGCCCGGACTCTGCTCCCTGCCCCTCTCCCCCGAAGCGTCGTCTGGAAGGCAGAGATGCCTGTTGGGGCCTGGGAGCTCCCCCCTCACCTGCCTCACGGAGTCCCAGAGACAGGGAGGAGGGCGAGAAAGGCCCTACACCTGTGGGGCAGCAACTGCACAGGGCGGGCAGGTGGGAAAGCCCGGGCAAAATCCCCGAGCCCGGAAGGGCCTCTCTGCAGCTTCCTGATGCTGCATCTCGGAGCTGGGGGTCCCCAGCACCCACCGCCTTCTACAGGTCTAGCAGGCCTCGTCTGAGCCATGCCATCCTGGGGCCCGTCCCTTCCTTTCCCTCTGCCACAGTCCGGCCCAAGGCCCTGGCTTGAAGGTATAACCTCTGACTACAAGGCTACTGAGAGCCCACCCGCTCCCGGCTGCTCTCCACCCCTTCTGACCCTGGGCCTGTGCCTCTGCCGGTCCCTCAGCCCAGAGCACCACCTCCTTCCCTGATCCTAGCTGCTGGGGAGCTGCGGCCTCCTTTCTGAGAAGACCAGCTCGTCACCCTGGGAAGTCCCCTGTCCACAGCTCCATCCCCATAGGCACACATCACACCGTAGGGTTCCTGTCCAAGTCTGCCTATCCCATCCTGCCCTGCTCCCCCAAGAAGCAGACCCCTGACCCTGCTCAGCTCAGAGCCTGGCCCAGAGAGCTGGTGGCCAGGGAAAGCACCCAACGGGGGTAAGCCGGCACTTCTCCCAGGGACAATAGCTCTAAGGTGTACTCCACCTCCAGGCAGACCTCAGGGACGAGGTGTCTGTGACAACCCCTGGGCTGAGCACCCCAGAAGAAGACTTGCCCTGAGCCCCACAGCCAGCCCACTGGGGGCCCTGTGGGAGGCCAGGCCCCAACAGATGCAGCCGTGGTAAGGGGTGGGGGGGCACACTCCATGGGAATGAGCCCCTTGGCAAAGCTTAAGGATCCCATTAATTAATCTTTTGTTAACAGACATCCCACTGCACAGGGAGGCAGCTGGGGGCTTTCATGGCTGATTAGAGTGTGAGCCATAAAACAGGCTGCGGAGTTTACTGGAGGGAATGAGATCCCACCTGTTGACAGCCCCCTGCAGAAAACCGCCAGAGAACCCAGATGCACAGAAGACACTGCAGGGCACTGTGTCCGGAGGGGCTCTGGAGAGTGGTCAGGGCAGTGATGGGGAACGGACACAGGCTTGGAGGAGGGGAGCCTGGAGCTACCGGGGTAAGGCTGAGTCAGAGGAGAAATACTTATCAGACCAATGGGGCGGCAGAAGCAGTGCCTGGGCCAGAGGAAGGGTCTCTGTGAGGGCACTGGGGGCGAGAGGCGGGGACAAGCATGAAGCCCAGAGGGAGAAGGATTTGCTGAGGCCTCACTGCCACACAGCACCAAAGAAAGGAGTGGGACCCACATCCTCCCTCCCACCCAGCATCCTGTGCTCCTACCTCCCCCCGCCAAAAAAAATAAGGCAGTAAAGGAGGAACAGAGGAACAAAAATATAGACGAAAAATATAAAAAACAAAAGGGTACAACACAAAGAGACTGAAAGTCAATCTTTGCGGAGAATATATACCATCCAAATGATAACCAAGAGAGCTGGAGTGGCTATGTTAACATTGGACAAAACAGACTTTAAGACAAAAATTGTTATTGGAGACAAAAAAGGACCTTTTGGAATGATATAACGGTCAATCTATCATGAAGACATATAACAATTACAAACATATGTGAACATAATCCAGAAACATAAAATATTACGCATCATGACCAAGTGGGATTGACCCCAGGAATGCAAGGTTGGTTCAACGTACCAAAAACCGTCAACGGACTACACTACATTAATGGGATAAAACGGGACAAAACGCACACGAACACCTCAACAGACACAGAGAAGGAAAGAAGACACTCCACGTCGGTGGACGGGAAGACTCGATGCTGTCGAGATGGCAGTTCCCCCCATCTTGCTCTGTAGATTCGACGCAATCCCCAACAAAATCCCAGCAAGTTACTCTGTGGCTATCGACATACTACTTCTAAGCGTATGTGGAGAGGAGGCAAAAGACCCAGAACAGCCAATGCGATACTGACGGAGAGCAACAAGTCGGAGACTAACACCGCCCGCCTTCAAGACTCACTATAAAGCTACCATGATCAGGACAGTGCGGCACTGGCCGAAGGACAAGCAGATCGATGGAACGGAACAGACGGCCCGGAAATGGACCCCCGTAAACACAGCCAAGTGATCGCTGACGAAGCCAAGGCCGCGCAATGCAGCAGAGACAGTTTTCAACAAACGGGGCTGCACCAACTGGACATTTCAAAATAAAACAAGAACTTAGACACAGACCTTACGCCCTTCTCAAAAATTTTAACTCAAAATGGATCACGGGCCTAAATGTAAAACGCCAAACTACAAAAATTCTAGAAAATTACAGAGGAGAAAATCTAAATGACCTTGGCTTTGGCAGAGAAATTTTAGACACGACACCAAAAGCACAGTCCATGAAAGAAAGAACTGATAAACGGACTTCATTAAAATTAAAAATTTAAGCTCTGCAAAAGACACCGTCGAGAGAATGCAAAGAGGAACTATAGATGAGAGAAAATATTTTCAAAAGACACATCTGATAAAGGACTGATATCCAAAATGGATAAAGAACTCCTTAAACTTGGCGTTGAGAAAACAAATAACCCAATTAAAAAAAAGGGCCAAAAACCTTAACAGACACTTCAAGGAACATGACAATTAAGCATATGAAAAGATGTTCCACGCTGTGTGTCATCAGGGAAATGCAAATTACAACATAATACCACGAACACACCTATCGGAATGGCTAAAACCCAAAAGAGTAACACCACGTGCTGGCGGGGACGTGGAGCAATGGGAATGCAAAATGGCACAACTCCGGGAGACAATTCGGCCGTTTCTCACAAAACTAAACACTTACCACACGATCCAGCAACCACACTCCTTGCTATTTTCCCAAAGTTCAATACTTATATCCACACAAAATCTGCACGCAGATGTTTATAGCGCCTTTATTCATAATTACCAAAACTGGGACGTCACCAAGATGTCCTTGGTGTCGCTCAGCAGGTGAATGGACGAATACATGATGTACATCCAGAGTGTAACAGTACTGAGTGCCAACAGGTGAGCCGCCAAGCCGTGGAAAGCGGGAGGGGAAGGCCAGCTGATGGAGCGACACAGGACCCGGCCGCCCGCTGCGTGCTCTGCGTGACCTCCTCCTTCTGCCTGCACCCCTAACTTCTGCGTGTGCCTGCCCAGCTACCACGTCTCTCACGGGTCAACCTGGGTGTCGCCAACCTGGAGTGGCCTCCCTTGGACTCCCACAGCCCCCAAGGTGCAGATCTAAGACCTCTCTGCTTCCCAGAGCTGCCCGGCCGCGGGCACCTGAGGGGGGTGGGTCAGGCCACGTGTGTTTGAAGGTCACTCTGCAGAGCCTTAGAGACCCCTCCTCGGGAACAGCAGGCCAGGGCCTCATCACCAGCCCTCTGCTCATGATGGAGCAGCGAGACCACCGCCCCCAGCAGCACACCTGCCAGTACTTACCCATCAGGCTCTGCCGTTCCTCCTTCTTCCGGGCCTTCTGCTTGGCCTCCAGCTGCACCACCGACAGGGACGGCCCCACGGTGGGGCTGGGGAGGGCACTGGCTGCAAAGCGGGCCAGCAGGCCCAGCCCACTCTCCTCCAGGCCTGGCGACAGGGCCCGCTCCCGGGACCCCAGCCTATAGCCGCCGTCGGCCTCGCCCTGCTCCTCCTCCAGCTCGTCGTCCTCGTCCTCCTCGGAGGTCTCATCTGGCGTGCAGAAAACAGGGGGCGAGTCAGAGGCCTGGCCGGGGCGTGCGCGGCCCCACCACCCCCACTCAGCCGGAGCGCCAGCCTAGCTCCTCACTCCTCACCAGCTGGGGGTGGATCCAGAACCAGCCCACGAGTCCCCCCGATGGCCCAGTGTCCCCATCAAAGCGAGCCCAAGCCGTGGGCATCCTGGACAGCCCAGAGGTGGGCAGCGGCTTGGGGAATCAGAGTGGGTCTCTGTCAGGGGAACACCGACATGCACCTGTGCTGTGGGGAAGGGACACACGGACAAGGACTGGAGACAGCTCTCTCCACGGTCGCACGCGCACACACACGCCCCGACGTACAACATGAAGACTGAGGAAGGAGGCGAGGGAGAGAAAGAGGAGGCCGAGGGAAGGGAGGAAGCGGAGGGCAGGAGAGGGCCTGGGGGCTCAGGCTGGGGTTCCGGGCACAGGCGCCTGAGGGGCGGTTTTGGCAGCTGGAGGCCTGGAGGCTGGCGGCAGAAGGTGGAGTCTGGTCTCTTCTTGTGGGGTAGGGGACAGCCACGGTTAAAACCCTAAGTTGTCTCTGGGATCCAAAGCTGGCTCCCATTGACGGCCCTACCCTGGGGCCTCTGGGGCAAGTCCCCGGCCCTCTCAGAGCCCTATTTTCTCACCTGTGGCCTAGCTAAGGGAGTGACACAGACAGGAACACACGTGCAAGAAAGAGCACTGTGCGAGCGGCTCAGAGGATCAGATGCACACAGAACCACCCTGTCCTATGAAAACTGCTGTCCCCACCACTGAGAAAGCCACACGCTAGCTACGCCTCTGGACCCACGAGGAACAGGGAAGGACGGCTCACTCTGCACCAAGAGACCCAGGCCCTGGGGCTCAAGAGCTCACGTGGCAGAGCGGGCCTCCACCCCGGGGCTGGCTGTCTGTCCTGTGGTCCGTGGTCTGGTGGAAAGACGACACTAAGGAAGCCCTGCCTGTCTCTCCAGCTGATAACTAAGACGTGCCCCGCTCCAGAACCTGACCCTGCCACTCCGGCCACCGTGACGAAGGTGGGGCGGGCCGCGGGGCAGGCGGGCGGAGCAGGGAGGACGATGCTCCCACATGTCCACCAAGAGAGTCAGTCTAGAGGTCCAGGCTGGCTCTGACCTTCCCCGGGAGGCGGCCAGCTACACCCACTAGGACGGGTGGGCAGGTGAGAGCACGTCAGGGGCTGAGTCTGTCTGTGAGACCCACGGCCAAGGAGCCCCGAAGGGACACCTGCCCAAAGGTGCCTGTCTGCCCAGAGCACTGAGAGCATGAAGATCAGGTATGGCTGGAGGGGAAAAAGGTGTCTGGGGTGGGGACAGTCTGAGTTTGGGGACGAGAGAAGAGAGACAAATGGCCAACTCCATGTTCTCCCGACAACGCTCCAAGCCGCCTGCAACCACCGGCCGAAAGTGGCGGCCCCGGGTGCCGACGAGGGCAGAGGCTTTCTGCGCACCCACTTATTGGAGGGAGCCCGGTGTTTTTTGATCGACCCCTCGGCAAGGGAAGCAGGGGTGTGAGCTTAAGGAGTCTCTAAAGGGAGTTGAGAGAGGAAAGAGACGGAGAGAGGGGGTGCAGAGGGGAGAGAAGTGGAGGCCCAGCGCCCGGAGGATGGATGAAGCGGGATGGAGGCCAGCAGGGCAGGCAGGCGGCAGGCAGTGCACACTTGCGGTCCATTCACATTGCGGACGTCACACGGTCTGTCTCCGCCCCAGTGGGCCACAGCAGCAAAGCAGGCTAAGTGTAGGCAGACTTTCGGCAGCGCCTGGGTCCCCTACATCAGGCCTCCTGGGGCCGGCCAATTTGAGCAGGGTGGCGGGCGGGGGCTGGCT